ATTCTTTCAAAAGAAAATGAATACGAAAACATAACATATGCGTTGAAGAGAAAAACAACATCATCACAATCATGATGAAATAACATAATTGTGTACTTTAACTTATTATTCAAGTTGGGATAAAATCTTGATCATTTGCTTTTTACCTTTGTTCACGATGTAATGAATCATGTGCATAATCATGATTGCATATGTCATAATTATCTTGTTTATTTTCTTGGAGTTAAAAAAAAAAGAAGACATGACTTATCTATGCTATGAAATAATTAAAATATCGAATAAAAATCATCGGTGTTGTTTAGAAATAATCTAAACTAAATCAAAAATATACTTGTCGGTTTGATTATAGAAATCTTTTGAAAAGACACTTGATATTTAAAATAATGTTATTGTATATTAACTAAATAATTGTTGATTTGTATTAAAGATTATTGATTGAATTTAAGATTCTATAGTGAACATAGAAAAATATGAAAAATCTCTATTAAATATAACAGAAATACAATTGATAAAAACAATATCTTTATTTATATTCTACATTTTAAGCTAACATCTTTTTGTTTCTCATGTCACTAAAATATTATATTCTTTGACAATTTTCAATAAAGAATTTATCTATGCTCTCCTTTCCTCTCTCAAGGTATCAATATCCACATGGTGGATATCGAAAGACTTTATTATAGGAAAATAGTGCATGTGATGAGAGAGAACGAGTTACTGTGTTATTGAAACTTTAGGTCACTCTTATTGACATTCACACTCTAACACTATTCTCATAATGATCTTCAACAAGGCGATCAGATGCAAAGTAGAACATACAATATATGAAAATAAATGAAAAATTTTCGTGTTTGACATAATATTGAATTTCAAGGTCACAGGAATTATTCACATTTATTAATTATTTTTTTGCAACAAATGGTATCGGTCCCTTAGCTCAGCCGGTTAGAGCGCCGTGCTAATAACGCGGAGGTCATGAGTTCGATCCTCATAGGGACCAGATTTTTTTTGTTTTTAGAGACATAATTATGCAATATTATTTCATATTCTTCAAATGAGAAAAAAAACAGAAGGAAGAACACAATGACGTACATCTATTTTAGTTTGTCCTCATTTATTTGGCTTAGAAAGAAATGGACTTTTTTTTTCACATCCATCATTTACCATGTAAGATGGAAAACTTGATTAATTTATTTTTTAGTTGTACATTCGCCAAAATCTTAGAAAGATAGTTTTAGTGTGTCTCTTTTTAAAAATAGAATTTTGATACGAAATTAAGTTTCTTTTAATTCAGTTATATTATCAATATCATCGAAGAATAATATACTGTCATTGTCATATTTTTAATTAGTAATAAAAAATACTAATCGATGAAATCTTCTGTATCAAAAGACGATGATGATCTATATCACTATTTAACTATTATTGAACAGACATTTGTGATAAGAATCAAAAACAAAAATAAATGTATTTCACCATGTTTTATATTATCGGAAGAAGAAATGATAAAATTGTATTTTTGGTACGGACCCACACGGCAAAGAGTATAGTGAAATAAGAGAAACAATATCGGCGCATAGTGATTGGTGTTATCGGTTTTGGGAGAGGCGGAACATAAATTGGACATCGACAGATAGAGAAAATTATTCTCTATCAAACTATATTTTTTGTTTTCTATAAAAAAGTAGCTTTAAAAAGATATTCCAGATGGCGTATTGCCTTCACGTGATTGGTTGAACACATCTCAACGTTGAGTCATATCGCATCATTTCCCTAAGAAATATTTCTCATCATTTAGATAAATATGAACGCATCTAAAAAGAATATTTATATTTCGAAAAATTTCTCTTTGATATATAAATGTATTTCTAAGATGAAATGCATGTTTTTTTTTCATAATAATATGTTTATTTTGAAAATTTAGAGTATGTATGAATCACTTTTCGAGAAAATAGAAATGTTTTGCTATTGAAATAATTTATTTAATACAAAAATTTAAAATTAGTCATAAATTTCAATAGGCGTAGAGAACAATTAAATAAATGAAGAGATTGACAAAAAAAGATAAGGTACTTTGTAGAAAAAAAAATCTTTCAAAACTGTACAGAAGGTCATACAGAATTTAGACAAAAAAAACCAATAAATTATTTATATCAATGAAAAAAATTGCTTTCATAATGAAATTTAACACAAATAAGACCATAGAATAAAGAAACAGAACAACAAACGAGACACATTGAAATAAAAAAGAAAAGTTTAATTAAGATCAGGTTGACTTGCAGTTTTCGTTGTGCGAAAGTATTTTCGAAAATGAGGAGTGCGACGAGGTGTTAATGATACTGTCAGTGATGGAGTTTTCTAGAAAAAAAGATTCAGATCATTTATGTGAAGATATAAGAAATACTCACAAAATTCAATGATGTAAGATTATTTTTCATTCCATTGAGCTTCGGAGTTGAACACGCATATGGTGATTGAAATACACGTTCATCTTCAGAAGATTCCTATAAAAAAATAAATGCACACAATGTAATGTAATATACTAAAACGAGTAATATAAATACTGATAATAGTCTACGACGTTTCGACGTCGTAGTTTGAAGATCCTTCTTCAAGTAAAATGTATGATCAGTTGCAAAATTCGTTGATTGAGAATGTAGCGATGGGTTCAATATATTACTATCAGAATATGTAGTGATTGGATCGACGTACGAGTTATTTGATGCCATCTCAGAATGATATTCAGTAATACTCTAGCTAATGTAACATGAAAAAATTTTTAACAACCTGGAAAAAAAAAGAGAGCTGGATACCAACTGTATCGTTTACGTAGATAGATTGAGATTGTATTGATGTTACATGAAATGAATTATTTTGAATTGATGAAGGTGTTAATCCGAATTTATTCGACTTGATTTTCACTTGTTGAATTGATGAATTGTAAGTCTAAATAAAGAAAAATTTAATAAAAAAAGGAAACTAATAATAAAGTTATTGGAAGAACCAGAATATTTACTCTATTACAACAAAGATCTTGATGACATCTACAAAAAGCTGTACAAGATAAATTATTTTTATAACAGTTGCAACGAGTACAACCACCATAATTCTTCAAAACTGTTTGAATAAAAATCATTAGGTGTATCTTGATCAGGATATAGTGGTAATGGTTTTTGTGTGATGATTGACCGACGACGATGTTTAAAAGAATGAGTAAATATCTAAATGGAAACATGAGTAAAATAATAAAATGCTAATTTTATCAAAATTACTCTTTTTCGTGTTCGTTTCAATTTATCTCGTTTTCGTTTTATACTTTCATTTCGTATTACAACTTCATTTGTACATTGACCATTGATGACCATTTCAAAAGATAAATCATCGTCGTCGGGACTAGCTGCACGTGTATCATCCTTTGAAAATTAAAATCAAGTGTTAAAAAATCTATGTCATTCAGTTAAATCAGTCATTGATAATACTTGAAATATAGTTTCATTTGTTAATGCTGTTTGTGTTGAATCTATTGTATATTTGTCTATTGCTTCAACATCAGTTGACGTTGTAATATCTTCTTCTTCTTGACGATCAGCAAATACATTGTTCCAATTATTCTAAAAAAAAATAGAAAATTAATAGAACCTAAATCTACATTTTTGAAAATTCGAGTTTACTACAATTGGTTCAAATACTTCATATGTTAATGCTGTTTGTGTTGAATCTATTGTATATTTTTCTATTGATTCAATATCAGTTGACGTTGTAATATCTTCCTCTTGTCGATCAGCAAACACGTCGTTACAATTGTTCTAAAAAAAGATAGAAAATTAATAGAACCTAAATCTACATTTTTGAAAATTTGAGTTTACTATAATTGGTTCAAACATTTCATATGTGGATGTTGCTTCTGTTATACCACTGGTGATCAATGATGCTTCAGTAGAATTTCTTGAGATAATATCTTGTTCGGATTGTACAAATGATATACTACTACTAGAAATTTGATCATGAATACCAATTAATGAAGATAATGTTGGTGCTGCATTCGAGCTGCACTCAACTGTAAATTCAGAAGTATATTTCTACAAGCAAAAAAAAACATTTGTACGTTAAACTAAAGTCATTCATAAAGAAACTCACTTCATTATTTTCACCAACATAAAATGATTTGTTTCTGTCTTCAGTAGAAAAGAAATTAGATTTTGTAGTAATTGTTGTTGGATGATTTGTAATATCCATTAATATTCTAGCAGGATTTGAATCAAGACATGAATATTTTTTTTTTCGTTTTGGTCTTCCTATTTTATTTGCGACAGATACCGGTTCAATTCCAACAACAAGTGATTTGTAGCAAATTGCATGCACTAATTGATTTAGTAGTGTACCACTTAATTCCTTATTATAACGAGTTTGATATGCTTTACGAACTTTTTCTTCTCGTTCAATTGTGCAAATTTGCGTATACTTGCAACGAGCTTGTCGATCTTTTTTTCCACATATTAAGCATAAAATTATTTTTCCAGGCAACGACGTCGATGAACAATATGGTATAACAAACAGCAATAAACAATTCTTTATTTCTTTTGCATACGTAGACGATTTATCAATAGTCTAAAATGATGACAATAGTCTTTATCATCATATGATGTTTCTATGATTATGTCCAGCCAATATGGTTCATACTCAACGACCAATCAGTGACGATCTCTTAAACCGAACTAGGGCGAGTAAAACTATCACTACCAAAATCATTAAATCACTTTATAAGTTCAAAATATAGTATCAAAAGTTCTTGAAAAAGTGGCAAGATATGTGGCGCCCTCTCTTGGTGCATTTTCCGATATTGATTATTCACTTCGTCGCCTTGTGGGTACGTACCATTTGTGTGACAAGCGCACTCTTTTTCTCGATATATATGATTGGTTTACTAACTTAACAATCCTATATCTTTTCAATAGCAAAATAAAAAATAATACTAGTCAGTTTATTTAATTCATATAATCATGAGTGATTCTTTAACTAAATTAGCAACTGAATTAGAATATTTAATTGATAAAACATGGAATTTATATGTAACTGTAACTGATTTTCAACCACAATCTCAATCTCGTATTGATCAAATTCTTAATGAAATTATTGGTTTATTAAAAGATATTGATCAAACAAAAGGACAATGTCAAGATATACACATTCCTGGACAATTATTGAAGTAAATAAAATTAGCTTAATACTTTTTTTTTTTTTTTAATTTATATCTTGTATTTTAGTTATATTGATGATCTTAAAAATCCTCAAATATTTACACGTGATTGTTTACAACGTACACTTGAACGTAATGAAGAAATAAATGGAAAAAATGAAACACTTGGAAAATTTGCTGATATATTAGCTGTTGAATTAAGTTCACAATTTCCTACACAAATGGCTCAATATCGTTTATGGAAATCAAAATCATCATTTATTGATCAATGATTATTGTAAACACAAAAATCTATTTTTTTTTTGTTTTTCTTAATATATATATATATTATTCAAAAAGTTTGATGACATATAAAATTGAATTATAGCTGACAAAAATGAATTAATCAATTATCAAAAAAAAAAAAAAAGAACAAGAACATATTAGTAATTCAATAGTTGTAACTCTTGGGAACTTTTTCATGTTTATTAGTTTTTCCGCTTAGATATATATTCGATAATGGGCGTTTCTGTTCGTCTCTATCACTGAAAAAAAAAACCAACTATGACCGATCTATTATCATTGACCAAAATTGATGTATGAGGTGAGCGATGAAACTCAAGTTGTGGTTTCATAGATGCTCAAAAATTTGACTACTAGAGATCTTCCATTTATGGATAGAGTTTTTTTCTACTGATTTGAATACATCGAAGGTACGTAGAATATTGAAATCATAGATGTCCATCGCGATGGTATTCAAAAAAATGTTTCGATTTTCAAGGCCGTGACTGATTTGAACTAGAAGTATTGCTGCTAATCGATCAGATTTGCTAAGTCTTACAGTATCACACTGAGATTCTGTGCAAATTCATGTATTTGTGAAATTTCTTTGTAAAAAAAAGCTGCTGCCGACGTGACGGCATGGTAAAAATATCGTCAGCAATGCCACCGCCACGGACTCAAATTTTGATGAATGTTTATAGTAGAAATTAAACTAGATGACATTTTTAAAAAAAATGTAAAAATGAAATTTTGAAATGCTATTAGAACTTTATGAAACGATGTGAAATAAAATAATTATCATCATCATCATCATGTAGTTAGTTTAATATTTCAAGACATCACTTATCTGGATAAATTCTAACAATTAGACATTTGTCTTTATTTTTTTTTTTTTTTTGGCATTTCAAAGTTTTCTATCGTTGGTAAAATTGATTGATTTCGTAAAGTTTGTTTGAGTATAGTAACATAAATATTGATACTAATGTATAAATTAGTATGATATCAGCTTTGAATATTCTCCTGCCATTAAACAAACATTCTTCTTTGCAAGCACATATAAATACTCGATTAAAGTGGTTTGATCTCAATGTGATGGATTATTTGTGCATATTGTTTATATATTTACATTTGGAGAGATACATTAATGATTATTATCTTAGATAAGAAAAAGTAGGAAACAATAACAACAATGTTTATAAACTATTTCTTTTCATATTCAACATTGTTTGTCAATGATTGATGAGTATTTTCAATCATCCTATTTAATGCACGTTTACTATAATGATCAAGATATTTATTTGACAGCAGATTATTGATTGATCAATCGATGATGAATTAGTTTCTTTAAAAATTATAATACCTGTTGATTTTGATTGTAATATTTTCTCTGTAGATAGATCTCATAGTATTAAGAATATTCTAAAAATGATTGCTTCTATCTTCAAATATGCAATGATGAACAACTGATTAGACTCCAGAAAATAGTTAAAAATATCCGTGTCGTTTTGATTGAAATTGTTAAAATATTCTTTTAGGATTATACGACCTAATTATAGGTAAAAAAAATCTTCGGTATTATTTTCTTATCAATACACCTCATCCTATGCAAAAAAATTCATTAAAACAGTCATAACTCTGTAGAGAAAGTCTATACAAACGAAAAATTTTTAGTTTCATTCTAGTCCAGAGATTCTGTATCATCAAAACATGAACTTAAGAGTGATAAAATATCTCGATCGGTTTCCTTGTTAATTTAGCTAAATCATAAATTAACGTAAATAATACAAAAAGAAAAAGCTTGTCAGCGCGGCCGATTTAGAGCACTCATCTGTATTGTTACAACTTATTATACTAATACAAAATACATAAAGTGAAAAGTCCGAACATACCTACCATATATCTCGACAAACACTGATATTAATTATGTCTCTCAATGTTATAACTTGATCAGTTCGGGTTTTTTTTTAAATGTTAATCATAGGATGACTGTGATGCATCACTCTTCATCATCATTGAGATCTTGAATAGAAATTTTTATCTGTTGTATTAAGAAATCTGACTCGTGTTGTCTTCGGTTGCTATAGAAATGCATCCAATGATTATCGACCTTCTTCAAAATTTTAACTTTTCGAAAAATATAGTTTCAAAGTTATCATATGAAATTGAAATCTTTAGTTAATTAAAGTCAATCAAAATACATATTTTTTATTTCATCTTAAGCTTCATATTATGAAAACGATGATAGTATAATTTAATTGCTATTATTATCGAATCTAGTAATCGGTCAAAATTATCCGAATAAACACTATATAGTTTTTTTTGTTTTCATAAACTAACTAATGTGTTGATTGTGTCTGTAGTAAGAAAAAAAACAGAAAAGAAAAGAATATTTGTTTGTTATAAGCTTTATACAATAGTAAAACAAGACAAAGAAGAAAAGAAAACAAACAAAACTTGAACGAGTCTAATTGTTCTTTGTTTATGAATTTTGACGAATTAAAATTAGATAAGGACAAAAATGTGTACTACTACTTGTCATTGATAATTTTGTTGTCGATTGTGAAGTAAAAAATTGATTCGGTACTGGACGTAAAACATGACGTGATGTTGTTGTAAGTATTGATGGAAATTGTGGAACTCTTGGTTCTTGTTTACAATCAATAACATCCGTATTATTATTATTATTATTATCATGATCAATTGTATCAAGTTTAGATTTTTTATTTGTTGATGAAGATAGATTAATAGATTTTCGTTTTCGACGATTAGGAATTGTTCGATAAAGCATTTGACGAATATTATCATCGGAAATAGTTGTAATTAGCGATGATATAAACCAAGGTTTAATTTCTGCCTAAAATTGACGACAACAAAAAAATGAAATAGAAGTTATTAATGATATCTCTCGTTCCTTTGAACTACTTCTAGCTCTCAGAAAAAGTACAACTGATCTAACTCATATTTTTTATCATATCTAGATTAACAAAAATGATAGAACTCATGTTCGAGAAAGAAGTTTTACAAATGGATTTTCAAAAAACTATCAAAGTTTACTTTGTCTGATCGGACTGGAAATACTGAAGTTGCAAACAGCTCTGATGATTTTTGAAAATCTTTTCCTTGAACATAGATCTCAATCATTGTTGATAATCTAGCTGCGATAAGTCTCGCCAAGCACGAAGATATTTTGGATAACTTAACAAAAAACTAAAATCTTAATTTTTACCTTAAATTTTCTAAAACATAAACGTTTTTGTGAAAATTCATCCAATGCAATTCGTGCAATATTTTCAATTAATTCTGGTTTTTGATTAAACCATTGAAATTCTTCATCTGTTATTGGAAATGGTAAACCACGTCGATAGAAACCAAACTGTTCTAAATCATGACGAATTTCATTATCATTATTATTACCATTATTATCATATATAGATAATAGATCTATTGAATTTTTATTAATAAAATATTTATCATTATTTATTTGTTTATTATATAGAAATAATAAAAAACATTTCATTCGATGATTTATTTGACAAAACCAATTCCATTGTGTTTTAGCTTTAATTAACATACGATAACGAACAAGTAAAGAATTATCTGTACGTGAAGAAAATTCTTTTGCTATAATTGACCATTTTGAACCATGTAATGTATATTGTTCAAGTAAAAGACGATCTTCATCAGATGTAAATAATCGATGTTTTTCTTTTGTTCTACGATTTTGAGTTTTTAATGTATCTAAAACACGTTCACGACATTGTCGAGATGAACGTGTTTGTACGGGTGCTGATATTAATGGCCAATTTGTTATTTTATGTGTTTGTTGATGAATATGTGTTAATAATTGTGCATGTTCATCATTGGACCAACGACCACGTTTACATGATGGATCAATATGTAACCATTGATTATAAATAAATTCACGTGTACGATCACCAAGTTCATATGCTAATTTATTATATTTTCTATAATAACCTTGATTATCATCTTTCATATTTGATATTATTTGATTACGTTCATTTAATTCTAATGGACGTTTCGAATATTTTTCATTGTTTATCTGAACGAGAAAAAAAAATGAAAAAAAAAAATTTTTTTTACTAATATGAAAGAAATTGAAAAATTGAAAAACAAAATAAGAAATAATCGTTTTTACTTAAAATATCGTCTTTTGAGATGGATGATCCTGATATTATAAAAAAATATATAACGAACTGTAAGAATTTGAAAAATAAGATTTATTTGAAAGTTTTCCCTCTCTTGAATTTTGGACTTGAAGTTATAAAAAAAAAACAAAATAAAGAAATCAATCGGAATAGGGATTAAAAAATTAGATTGAATTCATGCTTTAATAATAATATATCTGTTTATAATCGATTTCAACGTATTAAATCATAATTTGTGACCATTCAAAACGCCAAGACTATATTAGGGGAAAGTAAAAATGTTCATTCAATAAATGTGATATGTTTTTTTTTTGTTTGTGTTCTAATCCAAATATGCTTTTCCCTTATAAATACAACTTACTTCTGGACCGGATTTAATTTTTTTCTACCTACTTTTTTTTTCCCAAACGGACAATTAATTATATAAATAAAGCTGAAGAAAATAAATTATGAGATATATATATTTATATATATATAGCCTACTTGTTTTTTTTTTGTTTCTCATAATCCATAACATATATGTGTGTGTATTTATATTTATATTTATACAATTACTTTAATTTTTTGGTGGGTATTTGATTGGTGAGAAAAGATGTGTTCTGTGTGAACTCTCACTCTAGAAAAATGAAGGTGTGAATTATTTTGTCTTTTTACCTGCATATAACGTTTTGCACAGAGATACGCACTTCGATCCGTTCCTAATTCTTTTGCAATCGATATCCATCGATCAGCACTTAATGATTCACGTTCAACAATTGATATTAAACGACGTTCTTCTTTAATAGTCCATTTTGATTGATTGATTCTTGGATTACAAAGTTGTTTCCATGCATTTTCACATACAT